TCCAGCAAGAAGGGATATTCTGATAATTTTATTACTTACCCTGGACCAGAAACTGTGGTGCCTTAGAGAAATCCAATGGCTTTTTCCAATGGAAATCCAATTTTGCTTTCTTTGTTATACACAAGAACAAGTTGCTCCATTTTCTCTGTTTATCAAAAAGAAGCAGAACTCCTGAACCCTGAACAAAGGGGCGTGAGGCACGGACGCGTTGATGTTATTCGTTCTTCCTCAGGACAGATATGGAAACAGTTCAGGGGCCTCAGCGCATCTGTCTTAGGAACAATGATGATGAGCTCTTCGTCTCCTTTTCTTCCTTGAAATTGAAAACTTCCTTTTGGTGGTACCAGAGACCTCTGGACTCATTTAGAGATTTTGCTGAGCTTTCCTCCCAAAACTAGTAAAAGGGAGGTGACATCTAAAGCTCTCAGAAGAAGCATAGGTTTTGAGGAAAAGCTAAGGCATTTAGCCTACCTCGGGATGACACCTCATTTCTATTGGTCTTGATGGAGAAGACCAAATGTGTTGTTCGGTAAAATCAAGTCAGGTTTCTTAAACTTGTGGGTTGGTGTGTTTCCATCAGGAAAATTCTTAGCCTCTGCCACATTCTTTCCATCCTATCCCTCTGGGGCTCCAGTTTGACACATATTAGGACCTTCTCACTTCATCCTTCACATCTCTTAATCTCTGTTTCATATTTTCCATTTTTTTGTATCTTGGTGCTGCATTCTGTCTAATTTCCTCTGATCTACAATTCACTCACTAATTTCTTCTTCTGACATGTCTACCGATTAAAGTTTTAATTCTGGTATTATTATTTTTATTATTATTAGATGTTCTGTTTGTTATTTTACTAACTTGCTAGGTCACGTTTTATCCAGGGAAGATTCTTTCAAGCTTTCATTTGTTTCTTTACACGTAGTAAACATACTAGTCACTTTGTAGTCTGTGTGGGACTGTTACCGCCATCAGTTATTTTTACCAGTTCTTGCTCGCAGTACCTTGTTTCCCTGTGTACATTTTCTTCGACTTTATGCTGCTCATTGCCCTTGAAAGTGGTTTACAGGGACTCTTTGCAGTTTGGGATGAAATTGCCTTCCTCCAGAAAGGATTCACATTTGATTCTAGAGATCCGTCCAGCTTGGGACCCCCTTGAACCAGGTTTAAGATTTACCACAAGAACTCACGTTATCTCCTCATTTCCCTTCTTCCTTTTCTAGGCTTAAACTTTCCAGCAGGGACCATTTCTTATCATCTCTCGTGGACAGCACAATCCTCAGCACATGAAAATTGACTGATGGATTTTGGCTGACTGAGTGCATCTTTAAATTATCATGCCTACCTTGTTAACTGATTTTCTCTGTTTTATTTACGGTTGGTCAGTTAAAAGGATAACTCTATTAAATATCTTTTCCAGTGGAGTGTCCTTTCCTCAAGGCACTGCTGGGGCTTCTCTCCTTTGTAAATTCCCCAAGTTATGCCACGCAGGAAGTGGTTACATGGTAAATATTTGCTTCCAGGCTAAGATTTGCTGTACTTCCCATGCTCCTCTCCATGAGTGGATCAAACCACACAATTCTGGGATTCCTCATACCTTGTATAGATTTTTTTTTTTTTTTGAGGAAGATTAGCCCTGAGCTAACTGCTGCCAATCCTCCTCTTTTTGCTGAGGAAGACTGGCCCCGAGCTAACATCCATGCACATCTTCCTCTACTTTATATGTGGGACACCTACCACAGCATGACGTGCCAAGCAGTGCCATGCCTGCACCTGGGATCCTAACTGGTGAACCCCGGGCCGCCGAAGCGGAACGTGGCCACTTAACCGCTGCACCACCGGGCCGGCCCCCCTAGTATAGATATTTTGAGTGTTGCTCAGGTTATCTCTGGCAGCAACTCCCATGGCCCTGTAACTGGTGGATTTACTGCTAATATCTTTCCCCTCTGGTGCACCCAATCTTACTTTCCAGGAGTTCTCTCTAAACCTAACCTCTGATTCTGCCATTCTCTTACTCATAGACCGCCATGGCTGTCACCACTGCCTATAGAATAAAAGTACAAACTTATGAGCTTGTCATCTTGCATCCTTCATCTAGGTGGGGTAGCCAGACTTCATGAAGACTTCATGAAAGAATATGATCTCTGGGAAATCAAACCCAGCTCCATCACTTACTAGCCATGTCACTCCATATAAGCCAAACTTCTGAGCACTGGTGTGCTGATGTGTAGAATAAGACTAGTCTTGCAAGGGATAATCTATGGAAAGCTCTCAGTGTCCACCAGAATTAAAGCAGTGCTATGAGACATTTCCTTCTGGTGGGGTCTGAAAGGAGTAGCAATTTATTCTTTTATTGCTTGTGGGTACATGGATACTTGAAAAATCCCTTCCCCATTTATTTCCTATATATAAAGTGGTACCTTCAGTGGTCATTTTGAAGCTTAAATATGGGAAGCCATGTAAAGCACCTGGTTCCATGCTTGGAAAATCATTAAGTGTATAATAAATGTTCCTTCTTTATCCCCCTTCAAAGGGAGGTCCAACTTTCCCATGGAATTGCGATGAAAATTATAAGTCAAAGTACATTATATCAAAGAAGGATTGTTATTCTTATGTATACTTCTTAAAGTCCTGTCTACCCCTGAAGGCCAAGTTCACATGCCACCTCCGCCATGAAGCATCCCTGGGTTCTCACTTCCACAGCACTCATCCCCCACTCCAGCCAGGAGGGTAATAACGCCATCAAAGGGGAATCTCCAAACCATCTCAGTAGATGCTTGAATTTCCTGTATATCAATAAGTATAACTCTACTATATAAAAGCTAAGCAGTATTCTAGTTTCTACTAAAACATTTTTAGAGATGAAAAATTCAGCATCTTCAGAAGAGATCTATTTATTCTAGCTTTGGACAGCTTAAATCTGTTCCCCTAAATCTTCTGCATTTCTTCTTAGGTATATCTGTGTTCCTCTTTAAATATATTGTCCAGAAATAAGCAATATTCCTTAAAATACACAGTCCATGAACGCCCTTTCTTCTTCTGTAACTGCAACCTGTGCTAACAGGTTTGCAGCAGCTATGGAGCTGTTTTCTCCTAATTTCATTTATATTCGGTTAAAACCCTGAAATCCGGTTTTCAGTGTGTGTTGGTGCTAAATGACATCTCCTCGGTCTTCAATTAAAACGGCAGTTTTTGATATCTATGACTGAGTTGCCCAGTATCTATATCCATATTGCATGCATCTGAATATGTTTGGTCTGCTTATAAAACTGTGAACCTAATCTGTCACTCATACTCCTAGATCCATTTTTCTCCTTCCAAGGTACTTTAATTTATTCCTGTTATAAAACTTAGCTCGTTCTGCTTTGTGCCATAGTTTACGTACTTGTCTTATGTCGCTATGGTAGATGGGCTTCCCCAGAAGCAGAGCATCTGTCTGGGGCCTCAGGCAGCAACTCTAGAGCCTCCCTGGCTTGGTGGCTTGTTGGGCTAAGAGCAGTTTTCCACAGCAGGGGTCAGCTAAGAGTTGTTCTCAGCCAACACACAGCAGCTAGGATATAGGTGTTCTGGCTGGTAAAAAGGGACACCAACTGCATCCACTATAGGCACCCATGATTTTGTAACTCTTGAGTGTGGAGACTATGTATTGTTTATTTCTGCAGCTTCCATAAACCAGACTCCACGTCTTGCACAATGAAGGCACTGGCCGGTGGAATTCACTCATGAAAGATCTGGAGAAAATGCCCCCTAGTCTGCACCCATTCCAATCCACTGCCATTTGCAATAACAGATACCTGTAGGGGACTTAGCCAAATTCCACTAACCCCCGCCCCCCCTGCCCCAAGCAGCAGAGAACCAGACTGTGTGAGTGATACAGAGAAGGATCTGGAAGTTTATGTTGCATGTTCCAAGAATCCAGTTGCGTTGTCAACTCAAAAGCCATCTAAGGACCAAATGCTTAAATTCAGGATAGGCAAATAACTTCTTAAGACTAAGCAAGACTAAGAATTTCAGTCTGCTCCACTCAGCTCTTAAACGAAAAACTTTTTGTTTTTTTAAAAATTTATGAAAGTAGTATACACATATGGCTAAACATAAAAATGGTATAAAAGGGTAATAAATGAATAGTAAAGGTCTATTTCTCCATCATCTTGACTTAGATTTCCACTCTCGAGAGCTAACTACTGTTAACAGTTTTTGTGTTTCTATCCAGAAATAGTTGTAGATATACAAGTATGTATATTTATGATTTTATATGTAAAAAGATTACAGTATAGTTCTTGTCTCTACTGGTTTTTTTTTTTAAACTAGTAGTAGATCTTACAGGTCTTTCTACATCAATACATCTATATCTGTCTCATTTTTTTAAGTGATTATGTAGATGTTTTACAATATATTTAACCTGTCTCTTTTTTAGTGGACATTTAGGTTATTCCTACTTTTCAGCCCTAACATACATTATTTTTGCTCTTACAGATTTCTGCCATTACAAAATAAGTATTCTATGTATTTCTTTGCATATATGTTCTTAGCACTATTCAATTGAAAAGCCTGCCTTCGTTTCTCAACAGAAAAATGGTTACATGGGTAGTGAATGTGGACTAGAATGGAGCTACTTCTAGATTGAATAATTATGTGTCTTTTAGCCAAAGTTACCCTTTCTTTTAGCCAAAGTTATACTTCCTCATTCTCTGCCCGTTTGTTTTTCAGCCTTTTTCCGAGAATCCAACTTATAATCAGAAAAGGTAAAAGTTGTCAGTTGAAAAGAGCTGAAAGTGATACTCAAGTTCAGGTCATCATAATAGCAACTTTGAGAAACCACTTTGGTATACAATTTAAATAACAAAACATCTCTTTTGAGAGGAACAGAAATTCTGACTCTTGTTCAGAATTTAAGACGTTGCGTATCAAGAGCTTGTCTAATGCAAGTTTCAAAAACGCAATCAGACTTTCCGGAACTGCAGCCCCGATGTACTTAAAAGGTCTTCTTGTCTTTCTGCTTGCAGTGAAGTACATGCGAGAAGCCACGCCCTACGTGAAGAAAGGCTCCCCAGTGTCCGAGATTGGGTGGGAAACGCCTCCGCCCGAGTCCCCGCGGTTAGGGGGCGGCTCCTCAGACCCTCTGTCCTCGCAGTCCTTCTCGTTCCACAGAGACCGGAAAAGCATCCCCCTCAAGATGTGCTACGTCACTCGGAGTATGGCCTTGGCTGACCCTGAGAACAGGTAAAGAGGGTTCAAGATCTCCTTCCGTATCTCAGCAGCTCTTTGGCCTTTGAGGTTAAAAAGGGCTTTTGCTTCTGTTCTGAAAACACTCAGTGGTTTCCAAAGGAGAGCTGCAAGGGCCCTGCTGAGAGAATGTGTTCAAGCCACGCCCCCTTCCCTTTCTTCTTCCATCCTCCCACTTCCTTCCTTTATCCTCATGAAGAATCTGTATAGGGAGCTCTGGTTCTGCAAAGAACTAAAGAATTGGAGTCAGCATCCTAAGTGTCTTCCCTGGGTCTATCATTGCTCATTTATGTGACTTTGGGCAAGTTTCTCATCCGGGTAAACCTTAGTCTTGTCCTCTATAAAATGGGAATAAGTGAGAAAGATACCTCATTGGGTTGCGAAGATTAGGGGAGGAAATCTATGTGAAGTGCTTAGCATAGGAAAACCTCCCATGATTATAAGCTATAATAATATTTATTATTAATGTTAGGTAGTAATAAGCAAATCAGCCTCTCTGAGCCTCAGTGCCCTCAACTGTGTATTTGAAGGGTTCAATGACAGGATCCTTAGCACTGTTTTCTGCTCTAAACCTCTGTTTATGCTCAAGAGAGAAAAAGGAGTGGCTTTGCTCCAAGCCTGGAGTGCTGTTTCCAGAGTCTCTCCATGACTTCTCATGCCATGGGAGAGATATATCACTCCTGGCAATTATAAGGAGTCCAGCCAAGATGAGCAGATATTTAGGGCCCCCCTTCCCCCAAATGTCTTACTTTAGCTCTCTGGAACAGAAAACATACCTTTTGGAGGAAAATAAGAGCTATGTCAAGAAGAGAGGGAGGAAGTGAGCCAGCAAATGGAGAATCTTGGTGACCTTTGCATCCACATTCAAAGGCTAAAAATAGGAACAGCTCTTCTGGCCCACATTTATAACATGTGTGGGACAGCTGCTACCCACCCGAGTAGGAAGTATTTGGCTGGGTTCAGAGTTGCTGATAGGGAAAAGCCAAAGGGAATAGGGGCAGGGAGAAAGTTCCCTCCTTGGCTCTCTGCTCAAGACCTTTTTTTCTCTTCCCCGTAAGCTCCCTCTAAGGAAGCTGCTAGCCCCTCTGACTCCAGCCAGCTGCAGGATCTACTCCACTCCCTGCCTGCCCCCTATGTCAGTTGTATCTGCACAGGGATCAGAACCGGCTGTTGTATGAGAGAGCCAGGGAGTATCAGCGAAAGATGAGTCAGGGCAGGCAGACTGGGAAGGTGGCAGAATTCCTCCATGAGCCACTCCCACCTGTTCTCTGTTTTGTCCCCCTTGATTTCTCCCAATTTCCTGGGCCTGCAGTTGATGTCCTGGTTACCCTGAGTTTCCTCTTCTCTGGCCTCTTACTCACTGATCAGAAAAGTCCTTTCTCTCAAGAGTCTGATGTCTGAGGTTTCAGATCTGATGTGTTCATAATTTATCAAGTGCCTATCTTGTGCTGGGCATTAAGCTAATTACTTCAGACCAGAGACTGCAAAGTGGCAGCCTACAGATATGTGTACTCAGCCCACAGATATGTTTTTTTAATGGTCTATCTGGTGTTTTAAAGAAATTTGAATTAGTTGCCACATTGAATAGTTGGGAAATTTTACATTAAAAAGCCAATTTTTCTAGAAAAATTGCAAGATCTGGGGATATGATTAGGCACATGTTGCTGCAGGCAAGGCTCCAATCTATAGGAGCCCAGGAAAGGCTTCTCCTTTGACAAGTGAGTTAAACTCTCCTGGTCTCTTCTATTGCCTTACACTTAGGGGATTCAATTAATTACCTGCCTGGTAATTCACATTTCCTGCCTAGTCCTTGAATTTGTAACTCTGTAACCTCCTTAGTCCTTCTAACAGCCCTGAGTTTCCATCATTGTCCCCATTCTATAGATAAAAACTGAGGCTCAGTGCTTGTGTAAGTTCCAAACATCATATAGCTAATATATGATTAGCTGGGCTTCAAACTTATGCCTGTAGAGTGCGTGACCATATCATTTACCATGACCAGAAGAATGCAAACAGGGACTAAAAATCTTGGGATATTGTAGAAGTGATTAATGCATTGGAGAGAGAGTTTGAGTAGATGATGTCGAGGGTTCCTTCCAGCTCAGGACTTACGTGCTATAACATTTCTTTCAAGGCATTTAATTATATTTTAAAGAATATTTTGGGAGACATCAGACTTTAGTGCGTATATTGGAAACTTCATTCTGTCAAGCCAGTAGAGGGAATGCACTTTTAAACTTCTCTATCAGTGCTCTTCGAGTCCACCATTGATGAGTATATAGGGCCTCCCGGGGGGGAGGGAGAGCCTGTCCCGCAGGGTGTGAGAACCAGCAGAGCAGGACTGAAAATGTGAATCCAGCAATGCCAGAGGGCCCGGGAGGGGACGTCAGTCCAGCAGATCCAAACTGCTGTTAGTAAGGTGAACCTTTCACATTGTATACATATATCAAATCACCATGATGGACGCTTTGAATATCTTACAGTTTTGTCAGTTATACCTCAATAAAGCTGAAAAGAAAAAAAAAAAGGCTAGGGGCTTAGGTGAGTCTTGACCTTGGTTGAAGAAGAGACGAAAAGAAAAAGGAAACAAATATTTTATGGAACTCCAGTGACGTGCTGGGCAGAGTATAACGTACCAATGAGAAATGTGGACTCTGCGAAACCCACTTCTGTGTTGAATACGAGACACAACACACACAAAGTGACTTCAGAAGGCGAAAAATACAGGGATGCGCAGAGCACGCAAGGCGAATACAAACTGAGAGCAACAACAAAAAGCATCAGTTTTGATCTTGATCTATCATGGGGTAAAATGCAGGCGGAAAAGCACGAAACAAGACAAAGAAAGACTGGTTTATGCTAAAGGCCAGAGTTCACAAGGAACACTCAGCACAAGGAAGATTTTGAATGCACACCAAATAACACAGCAGTGCCCGGTAGAGGAGAAATGGCAGAGGATGCAAGAAATAGAAACATACTGAGATTACGTAATTTAACATACTACTCTCAGTCCAAGACAGGGCAAGTGGACCTTAAAGTTATAAAAGACTGAAACATGGGGCTGGTCCAGTGGCATAGTGGTTAAGTTCACGTGCTCTGCTTTGGCGGCCTGGGGTTCGCAGGTTCAGATCTTGGGTGAGGACCTATACACTACTCATCAAGCCATGCTGTAGCAGCATCCCACATAAAATAGAGGAAGATTGGCACAGATGTTAGCTCAGTGGCAATCTTCCTCAAGCAAAAAGAAGTAGATTGGCAATGGTTGTTAGCTTGGGACCAATCTTCCTCGCCATGAAAAAAAAACCAAGAAACAAAAGACTGAAAGGTAATTGATAAGGGAGATCTGGATACATTGCAAACTTTGTGCCCTGATAATAAAGAATACACTTTCTTTGCAAATCCGCATAGAATATTCACAAAATTAACCATAGATTAGGTCATAAAAAATGCAATAAGGAGAAGGTGGAAAATGCAATATGGATAAGGTGGAAATAATATAAACAACATCCTCTGATGATAGTGGAATAAAACTAGAAAATCAATAATAAAACCAAACCACAGAAAGCCTTTCTTCATGGATTTTTAAAAACTCTCTGTGAAATAGCTCTTGGGTCAAAGGAGAAATAGAAACTGAAATTGTGGCATTTCTAAAAAAATAATAATGAGAGCCAGCCCTGATTGCCTAGTGGTTAAAGTCCGTCACTCACCACTTCAGCAGCCCAAGTTCTCTTCCTGGTCACAGAACCACGCCACCCATCTGTCAGCTGCCATGCTGTGGTGGCTGCTCGCAAAGAAGAACTGGAAGGATGTGCAACTAGGATATCCAATGATGTACTGGGGCTTTGGGGAGAAAACAAAAGGAGGAAGGTTGGCAACAGATGTTAGCTCAGGTGAATCTTTCTCTGCAGAATAATAATAATGATAATTAAAATACTGCATATATTACATATAAAAGAGAAAGGAAGAGTGTCAACTCTAGAGTCAGCTAGATCCACGATGGAATCTTGGTTCCACCACTTATGCATGAAATTAAGCAAATATCTCATTTAATCCAAATAAAAACCCTAGGTAATAGGTACCCCAATCTTTGTTTTATAGACAATGAAACTTAGTCCAGAAATGAGAGTTGAAGCAAACCGTAGATCTAGGACTCAAACCCAGGCCTGGCTGACACCAAACCCAGTTTCTTAATCATGACACCCCATTGCCTCCCGCTTTAGCACCCGACAGAACAGCTCACCTGAACTGTAAGCACCCTGGCCAGCAGTTAATGCTCTCTGGGATGCTAAAACCTGAGAACGGTTGACAAATGCCACAGCATCTTGGGGCTCCTCCTCTCAACTGGTGACACACAGCTACTTAGAGTTTGCATTAAAAACTCTAATGTTCAGTTTCTCGGAGAGAAACAGCCGTGGAACAGCAGGCAGGATTGCTGCTCTTTCTGTGAAAAAGGTCACCCAGCAGGCACTGAATCCACAAGAATATGTCACTGCTAGTGGTTGTCAGTGATTACAACGTTTTTTTTAATTCTCCTAAATAACCCTTGTTTTCTGTTAGTCAGCTCTTTGCCTTCACAGCCACTGCCCTAGTCCAGGCTCACATCCTCAGTCCTCCAGACTATTTGGATGTATTTACTACCAGGAGCTTTGTTTCTAGTTTGCTCCTTCCCCTGCCATCTACCCTGCACCCAGCAAGGGAGTCTGAAACACTCAAAATTTACCTATTTGGTCAAAATGCCTCCCCGTCACTTTCACTAATGTCGAAACTCCTCAGTACTGCATGAAAACCCCATGAACTTTTGGATCTTCCCTGACTGTCCAGCTCCTTCCCGTTTCATCCTTTTTGCTCCAGCAGCCCTTAAACAATTTGTGCATGTCCTATTCTTGCCTTCCTGGTCACCCTTGGTGCCTCAGCACAGGTGTAGCACAGGTCCTGCTCTCCGTCCATTATAGCACCCTTCATCAAATGACTTGTGATTGTTTTCTTACATGTGTACCCCAGCTTTCTAGAACTTTATACTTAGTACAAAGCAGGCATTCAGAAATATATGGTACATTATAAATGATATGTGGCATATTTATCTCTCCACGTTTGGTATTTTTACCTTTTCAGAAATTTCTTTAAAAAAAAATCTCCCACTAAATAGCCTTGAGAATAAGAGAATAAACATAAGTACAGTTCTATCCTGCCAGGCTCAGCAAACTTCAAGAAACCAGGACTATTTGTTAACTAAGGCTGTCAGTGGGTTGAAAGCAGAGGGACCATGGGAGGTGTATGAAGCTTTCGTCATGACTGTGTACTAGTAACAGACCCCACTGTAGACATTCACGGTTAAATCATGGAGCGATACTCACAACCTTTCTTGATATTTCAACAGTGCACATCTCTATTTATGGTATACAAGTGAAAAATTCACAGAAGGCGCTGTTGTGGTTTCAGATGGAAAAGTGTCACTCAGCACACTGATTCAGAGGGATGTCATCTGGTAAGTCCTGTAGGACACGAGGATATGTTCCCACAAAGTGCCCTCAGTGAAATCACCACAATCTAGTACCCGAGCTTCAGCCACAGAGGATCGGAAACCTGATTAGTATCATGGTGACACTGGATCCATCTCTCAGGGATGGACTGGCATTAACCAAACAAGCCGGGATTCACTTGTAATGGTCAGTGCAATTGTCAACCTGATGGAAATGCTGCATAGGAAGATCTGTGTGTCCTCCTGTTATGGGCAGGCTGTATTGGAAGATAACTGTGAATATAAGCAGAATACCAGAGTATTAAGTACACCAGAGCGCCAAGCAACAAAAGCAGTGTGGACTTTCAAGGCAGCCTAAGCAAGGCATTCTCTCCATGTGAGTCAGCTATGTGAGAAATTAAATTGTCATCAAGCTTATGAGTACAGGAGATGTGCTAATAGACCTTAAGAAGTATATTTTAGTCAAGGAAGCTGGAAGCCTTCGCTTCCCAGGTTAGGAGGGCCTTGCCAAGGTGGCCGTTAGGCTAATTTCTGCTTTACTGAGACTCCCATCTCCTTTGGTCTATACATAAGTGGGCCAGGGTCTTCCCCGCCCACCCCTGCCAAGTGGCTCTCTCCTGTCCCCTTTGGTTCACATGGTCTTGTTCCTGATGGGGATCAGAAGAGTGGACTTAGTTTTCCTGGCTTCCTGAAGTTGCTCCCCGTATCACCTTGTTCGAAGTTTTAGATGACCTCTAATACTTTGCTTACACATTTATAAACAGATGGTCTTTTGGTGACCACGAGCAACAGAGTAATCATTTTACTAGCTTAGCTTTGTTTCCTCCTTTTCCCAGTGTTTGGGGAACATTATTGTCTCCCCTCCGCCAACCCGCGATCCCTTACATAGAGTTCTCAACTCTGCTCTTGAAACTTGGAAGGTTGTTGAAAACTCCCCTCCTTTAGTGCATCTGGAAGGAAGATTCGTGAGGCACTCCTGTCCGTCTTCATTCTGCAGGAAGTCCTTGCTTGTGAAAAGTGCTTCTCCTGCTAAGAGGCTCACAAAATTTGTATTTTCTTGCTTCTGTTTTCTTCGTTCTTGGTTGGATACATCATGGTGGCCTCATAACTGAAACCATTGCCAGCAGGTCCTGATGGATATGACGTTTTGGCAACAAAGGGGAAATCCGTTTATAATGGTGCTGCAGTATGTGGACATAGTTTAAATAGCTAAAATGGAGACTCAGATTGACTATGCGCTGATCTCAGTGAATAAAACTCCCGAGTCGAAGTTAGAAAGTCTGCGTTTGAATCCCAATTCTGTCACTTATTCCCTTTAACTTTAGATGAAATGTTAAGTAAACTTTAACTTTAGATAAATTATCTAATCCCCTCTGATTCCCAGATTTCTTTTCTATAAAATGTGCTTAATAATACTGACCGTGTATAATTGATGTGGTGATTAGATGATTTAATGTAGACATCTTCTCATTCCTGACAGCATAACCATGCATAAAGGCAGCTTTCAATCAAAATATCCTCATTCCTGGGTGCAAGAGGAGGAGGGAAGTTTTTTCTCAGCAGAGAAAGGTTTCCGGGTCATCTCCCCAAGCTGTTGAGCAGAGATTAGTTTGTAAGACATTCTTTCACAGAAGTTTTTGGCCTTTTGAGATTTCTGGCTCTCTGCAGGAGCTTCAGTTTCAGTTTCCCAACTCATGGGCTCACAAAGCCTTAACTATTATCGATGTATCAAACTCCAAGTCCTCAAGCCCACTCGCCACTACCCAATCCACTACCTGCCATCACTCCATCCCTACTCCGCTTTCCCAGGGGTGCCTTATGTCCACTTGAATACTCCCAACCCTGGTTTTCAACGCCCTCTCACCCTTTTTTTGACACCTGGGAGTTTCCTCTTCTTTCTTGCAAGCTCAGGACTATATTAAAAGAGAAACAAGCAAGCATTTTAAATTATATCTTATCTAGCATATCCAGGTGTTGATAGCAGAAGGGTTTCTGAATTTGTGTAGACCACCATTTTGCTGGAACCAGAAGCCTTCTCACATGGCTATGGAATTTCTTGTAATTGGCTGTGTATATCATGAACAAAAGTCAGTGTTCTAGTTTCTCAATTATAATTTAAAAAAAGTTAAAATTTACCATCATGTTTAAAACTAAAAACAAATAAACAAACAAAAAACCACGAGTATTATTGATGAGTATTATCCCTCTACCACCAAGAGGACCATTTTGGTCATGCTTATTCATCTGTCTGTATCTGTCTATCCATCACCTCCATCTATCATATTATCTATCTATCTACCATCCATCTGTCACCTCCATCTATCATATTATCTATCTATCACCTCCATCTATCATATTATCTCTCTATCTCTATCATCTATCACCTCCATCTATCGTATTATCTATCTATCTATCATCGACCTATCTATCTATCTATCTATCTCTTGTTTCTTACCTAGACAACCCCTATTGAAATATTTTGTTACTGTAGAAAGGGTATACATAAAAAGGCGTGTTTGATTCAACACTGCTCACGTTCTGCATTTGACAAATATAGGAAGTAAAATATATAGTAACATTTCAACTGTTTGTTTAAAGGTGGTTGGAAAGAAGATGTTCAGGGAGGTTGGGCTGAATTAGTCATAAATCTGAAATAGGAAATGAAATCCTAGACAGCTGTATTATTTTTAAGTGTACATAGGGACACAAAGTAATGAGGCATGCCTTGTAGCATTCATAACAGACCTAAGAAAATAGGTAAGGCACTCCCTTTTTAAAGTTATTTTAAATGAAAGTTTAAATGTTATCAAAAGAATAAAGGCAGATAGTTTAAAAATCAAATAGATCTAAAAGATTTATTTTTTAAAGAAAGCAATGAGTGTTTATCATACATTTTGCAGCCCATTTGTAGACCAATCTAGAGACCCATGTCTGAGATCTGTGTAATTTTCCCACATTGTTTATTTGATAATGTCCTCTTCTGTTTTCTTTGTTTTCTCTCTCTGCATCCCCCATTGGAAGGATGTTGGATCTGCTGTGTTGATTATCTAAGTCTGTTTCTTTCTCTATTACTTGCATCACATTTTTTTGCTTTATTTTTTTTGCACCTTCTCATGAATATATTCTTTTTTTCTAAGTTTGGCACCTGAGCTAACAACTGTTGCCAATCTTTTTTTTTTTTTCTCTCTGCCTTTTCTCCCCAAATCCCCCCAGTACATAGTTGTATATTTTAGTTGTGGGTTCTTCTAGTTGTGGCACATGAGATGCCGCCTCAGCATGGCCTGAGGGGTGGGACCATCTCCGCTCCCAGGATCCACACCGAGGAAACCCTGGGCGGCCGCAGCCGAGAGCACGAACTTAACCGCTTGGTCTCGGGGCCGGCCCCATCATGAATATATTCTGTTTAAGTTTCAACTATTATATTTTAGCCTGTTTTGTTCTCTGAATGTTCCTTTTTAATAGAATTTTGTTCTTGTTTTGTGAATGCCATGTTTTCTCATAATTCTTGGGGACTATTCATTAGTTTTGTTGGATTTATCAATTGGTGAGAATTCATTTACAGTTATTGCTTGGTGTGTCAGCCTTACTAAGGGACCCCTTCTGATTCTGAAAATGTCAGTGTTTAGAAGTTTTCTCTGGGTCCATTGAGTTACTTAGGTGAGAACCATCCAGTCTCTCTCCTTGGGTATGGGTGGTGGGGAGAGAGTGGGAGAACACTGCCTGCCATCTTTCAGAGAGTCCCACCACTCAACTTGCAGAACTTACGTAGGAACTTTGTTTTAAGCCCTTCATCACCCGTAACCCTCTCTCTGGAGGTCCCAAGCCCCTGCAGGTGTGCAGAGCCAAGGGGCTCACATTTTGCTGGAATCCTCTCTGCAGCCCTCTGCGTTGTAACTTCCTGAGCTCTTCCTCCACTCTGCAGTCAGTTACCTGGCTCCATTGCTGTCTGTCCTTCATACAAGTATTGAACTCTTGCCTCTTTTATTCTCTTGTGGGTTACTACTTATCTTACTGTTTTTTTGCGGGATCTTTTAAGGGAGAGGAGATGAACATAAATGGCCAAGCCAGTATGTTTCTCCCAATTAGAACCCTTGCATAATTTACATCTTTGTATACAACAGAGTGCATGAAAGGTTCGTTTTAATGAGCTTAAAAAATATTTCCATAGCCTTGTTATTTTTCAGGAAATCTGTTTTCTCCATAGGTAAACTTAGGTATTCATCCTAATTATCATACATTTTTAATCAGTGGGATATGAATTAGTAAGGTTTCCCTGGCAAAGGTAAGCTAGTTTAAAAAAAGAATTTAAGTATCTTTGGTTAGCCTTGAGGAAAAGAGTTGAGGAGAAGGCTCGCCAAGCGTGGTTCCATGATGCATCAGTACACAATAAAATGAGTTTATTTTAGTCCATTCCTGTGCCTCTAAGCACCATTCCAGGAAAATCTCAGTTTCCCCTCTTCTAAGAGCACTTTGAGAGGTTGAACTTGACCATCTGGGTGCTGAGAGACTTTTGATAATGTTGACTCTCAATATTTAGGTCTTGATCCTTTGCTCTTGCTGCATTAATTGAACTCCATTTGGTTTGCAAAAAGCTGCCCCAGGATTTTCCAGCTGAGATAATGAAGCCTGCGAAAATAACCCCAGTGCTATCCTGCAGGCACTCTCTATTCAAGCAGGCGTCACTTACCATGGGGATGGAGAGAAGGGAGGGGGATTCAGAGAGAAGTCCCTGCCCTCCCTTCCTTTGATGCATGCATGGAATTTCACTTTCCTTAGTGGAAGATGAGTTTAGGGGGCACAGAGAGCTGTGGATTTATAACAACACCTACCTGGACATACAGGGCTTATGTCTGTTGACAGATACTCCCTTTATTCCACAATAATACTAGAACAGGAATTTTGACATTTCCCATCCGTTAAACCTGGTTGAGATTTCTTTCCTTTTCTTAAAATTCAGCTTTGAAATAGATAGTTTTGATCGTTCACGTTCAGGTGACAGAGTTCTT